CTCCTCCTCCTCCTCCTCCTCCTCCTCCTCCTCCTTCTCCTCCTCTTCTCCTCCTGACACCCTCAGAGGGTCACACACAGAATTCATTTCTTTGACCTTGAATGGGAGAGAGGAGAAATGGAGAAGAGAGTCCTGGTGGGCAGGGGATGACCCAGTGGCTATGCAAGGGGATCATGGGACCCTGTGGGATGGACCCGGGTGTCACTGTTTGTAGTAACCAGGGACAGGGACCAGTGTCTTGAAATGCCATCCCCTGGGGGGAAACACCGAGGGTCTGGTCAGGTGCCTGCACAATGACCTTGACATGAAGCGGGTCCTGAGAAAAGTGACCCGGTGGCCTTTGATCTTCGCAAGTGTAGAYGAGAACCCCGGGACGGCCCCGGCGAACCTGGACTGCTGGGTTCACGACGTGGACTTCATGAGCTGCAAGTGGGCAGTGGGCAGGACGGCCCCCGGCGACGTCCAGTACCGCCTCTACTGGAAGGACGCCCGGTGGGTGCGGAGCCCAGGGGCGGGGGCTGGAGGCGGGGCCTCGGGAGACCGCACTCTCSTTTGCTGACTGCCTGTTCTTGTTGCAGTGAGTACCGAGAGTGTGGGCACTACCAGAAGGACAGCCGGGGCAGGCACGTGGGGTGTCGCTTCAGCGGCATCTCCAAGTACCCCCGGAGCTTTGTGGTCATGGTGAACGGGACCAGCGCGCTGTCGGCCATCTCCTGCAGGGACTGCTTTGCAGATTTATATGAAATTGGTCAGTAAGGACGGGGACGGTGCCTCCCCTCACACACACCCTCGGCTCCGTGCCGCCGTGTTCACGTGGGGTGCAGGGGCTCGACCCTCGGGTGGGGGACAGTCAGCAGACCCCCAMGGCTCTCGGCTCTGGGCTGCAGCCCAGGTCCAGGCGGGGCGAACCRGGGTCAGCTGAGGCTGCTTCCTGCTTCCAGAGGCGCCTTCTCCTGGGTCCTCCATGGTGGACGGGCAGGGGCTCTGGGTCCTCTTGCTTTTTAAAGATTAATGTTATTTTTTATTCTCACAAAACGGCCTCAGCTGGCCTTAGYGCTGCAAGTGACCAGACCCTGGGTGACTTGGAGTAAGTCATTGTCCCACCCGGAGAGCAGCTGAGAGCAGGTCCCCCAGGGACCTGGGGAGGACCCTGGGCTTGGTGGGATGTAGCCACGAGGGCTGGCGCCTCCACTGACTGCAGAGGGGACCGAGGGACGGAGGGACGGGCTCTCGGGGTGTTTCCTGAACGGGGAGGAGGCTGTTCTGTGGGCTGCGTGCGGTGGAGGGAGGCCACAAGAGGGGACTCTGACTGGACCCGGGGGACCTGGAGGGAGCRTCTCGCCATGGGGGGACAAAGTGGGGACAAGAGGAGGGGGAGGGGGAAGGGGGAGAGCAGAGGGAGGGGACCTCAGGGACCCAGAGCGTGGACTTCCCCCAGGGCAGACAGCGGGAGCCCCAGGGCTGCCCCCAGGGCGGCTCAGACGCCGTCAGACGGACGCGGGGACCCTGGGYGTCTCAGAGGGGACAGAGCGTCCCCAGGGAGTTAGCCGTGTGGGCAGAGCCAAGGACCAGCCCAGGGAAGAGSCTCCCGCAGGACGGACTGCAGAGGGACTGGACAGCAGGCCGCCGTGGTGCAGAGCAGGGACAGAGCAGGGACAGAGGGGGCAATGGCTGGAGCAGCTGAGCACACAGCGCCCTTCCCCTGCAGCTGGAGACCTGGGCAACGGGTGGTGGGAGGAGAGCAGAGAAGGGACAGAGCCTACTCCTCCTCCATCTCCTTCTCCTCCTCC